GTCCCCCCAGCGACAGGGGAGCCGTGGTCTCCTCAGAGCACTCCACCAGCGTCCCCCCAGTGACAGGGGAGCCGTGGTCTCCTCAGAGCGCCCCACCAGTGTCCCCCCAGTGACAGGGGAGCCGTGGTCTCCTCAGAGTGCCCCACCAGTGTCCCCCCAGTGACAGGGGAGCCGTGGTCTCCTCAGAGCGCCCCACCAGCGTCCCCCCAGTGACAGGGGGACTGTGGTCTCCTCAGAGCACCCCGCCAGTGTCCCCCAGCGACAGGGGGACGGTGGTCTCCTCAGAGTGCCCTGCCATTATTCAACAACAACAGCATGCACTGCTCTCCCCTCATCCACCAAGGCAGTCATCTCATCATAGAAGGTTTTCAGGTTGGTCAGACAGGATTTCCTCTTTGTAAATCAATGCTGACCTCTCCCAATCACCCTCTTGTCCTTCACATGTTTGGAAATGACCTCCAGGAGGATCTGCTCCATCACCTTCCCTTGGATTGAGGTGAGGCTTTCTGGCCTGCAGTTCCCCAGATCCTCCTTCTTGCCCTTCTGGAAAATAGGAGTGACATCTGCTGACATTTGCTTTCTTCCAGTACTCACAGACCTCCCCTGATCGCTGTGCCCAGTCAAGGATAATCGTGACTGGCCTCGCAGTGACTTCGGCCAGCTCCGTCAGCCCTGGTAGGTGCCTCCCATCAGGTCCCAGGGACTTGTGTCCGTCTGATTTGTGTAAATCCTCCCTAATGTGATATTCCTCTACCAAGGACAAGTCCTCCCTGCTCCAGACTTTCCCACTCCTCTCAGGCACCTGGGATTTGACTGGCAAGTCTTGCCAGTAAAAACCAAGGTGAATAAGACGTTCAGTACCCCAGCTTTTTCCATGTCACTTGTCAGCAGGTCCCATTCCCCTTTCCATGTCCCTTGCAACCCAAGACGTGTTCTCTGGAGCCACTGTGCCTCAATGGGGAGGTACAAGTTTCATGATTTACCTTCAGTATCCCTTCAGCACGCATGGACATGAGGAAGCTGTGGCCAAGTTTATGTTCAATGAATAAAATTTTAGCGCCAGATAGGTGATCTATAATTAACTTCACTTTAAAGCCCGCCACCTAATCACATGGAATTTGTCAAGAATTGATTAGATTGCAAACAATTTTAGTTGCACGCCAAGTATACTTGTATTCATACTGCAGATACTGTCGCTCAATTAAAAATGTCCAACTGTTTCTTCCTTTAGCAGCTTTTTGACACAAGCTGTTGACTTTAGACAGACAAATGCAACTGCCTTCCTTTCTGCTTTTCTCACGTATGTTCTAGGCAGTATGTTTTGAAATAGAGAAATGCTTTTGCAGCAGTGGTACTATACAATCCAACTATACAATTCAACTTCCGCTGCTGCTGCTGAAGATACAGAGAGTTGCAACTGGCAGTGTTATTAGCAAAATGAGAATACAGGAAAGAGATCTGAATTCTAACCAGTTTAGACATTACCAGGATTTCTACATCTGTTGGGATGGAACAATACATTAAAGTTACAGTGATGCCATGTTCACACTATGGAATGAGGGTTCATTACATAATTTTATGATTCAGGTCTCAAACATTTCCAGTGGCCATATAATTATAGGATGAGGTCATTAAAGATGGGACTAACCAGGGGAAGAAATAGCTCTGAGATCTATGAATGCTCTATGCATCACACCAGTGTCCAGAAACAGCAGGTGAGACATAATGGATGATCATCAGAGGAGCATTTGAAACTTAAACTAATTAAATGTTTTATTATTTCATATACTTTTATGCTTGATTTCTCTGCCCACTAACTGAAGAAAGAGACCTCTATTAAAGAGACAACTTTCAAAAGCAGCTCATGGGGAATACCGGTTAGTTCCAGTGCTAGTATCTAGTAGCTGATTTGCAGACATGTTGGTCACCCCAACCTTCTGTTTCAGTGGAATTTCTTTCTTACTTAATTACTGTCTTTTCCAAAGCATTCTCTGAGCTGAGGAGATCCCACCACTCTCTCAGAATTTTTATACCTCAGGAATAGCTATACTCTCTGTGCCTGCAGACGTGAGGACAAGCACTGATGAAACCACTTGGCATTTTTGTCAGCATATGCAGGTGAGTCCCAATAGTCGGCCTAACAATACCAAACACTATGTGTCATGCGGTTTTCATCCATGCTACCAACTGTTAGCAGAGCTGCAGCTCAGACTGAAAGCATCCATATGGTGCTTAGGAAGAGCCACAATCAGAGTATCTGCTGACAGGCTGGGCTATCACATGTTCAGCTCATGAATAATCTGCAGAGACTGTGAGAAGGAAAACTTAGATCCTCGCTGAGACTCACTTGACCTTTCCCTCTCGTCTCAGCCTTAGCCTATGCCTATGTGTCGACAGCACAGACAGTCAGCAAGTCTGGATTTGAGAAAGGTGTTAGGCACAGTTGGAATGACAGCATGGACATAGCCTTTGGGACCAGATCTGTCCAAACACTACTCTATGTTGCTAGTGAGAAAATACTGCTTTTGAAATGCAGTTGCTTCAAATTTGGTGCTTGCACTTGAACAGAGCCCCTTAAAAATCCAGTGCACCCAGCATTTTTATTATGAGAGTCTTAAAATACTTTAGAAAGCATTCCGTCTGAAGAAGAGAAGACGTAACTGAAAGGAGACGTTATGCAGTCTTCAGATATGCAGAAGGTTGCTGCAAAGCAGGAGGGAATTAGCTCTTCTCTGCATGCAGTGAGTCTAGGACAAGAAATAATGAGCTTATATCTGGGAAAAGGAAATGTGAGTTAGACATTGGGTTAATGGAAAGAATATCTGAGCACTGAAACAAATTGTCTAGGAAAGCAGTGGAATATTCACCATTGGATGTTTTTAAAAATAAATTAGTCAAGCATCTGTTTTGAACAGTTTAGGGAGAATTGATCTTATCCTGGGGAGGAGGAGGAAGTAAATAATCTCTTGCAATACCTCTCAGCCTTATTTTCTCATGAAGCGAAAGAAGTGATTTGCCCAAAGTTACAAAGCAGGTCAAAGCCTGAGCTAGGACTGGATTTCAGTTCTGATCCTCATGTTTGCACCCTATCCGGCAGGCTGCACTAATTGTTAAGTCTGAAGAAAAAAAACAGGCTTTGCCAACTGCTACATCTTCCAGAAGGTACTTTTGTTAAAAAGACAGTGTGAATGGTGACTCTCTCTTCAAAATCTGGCTGGTTTACCGCATTTCCCAGGGGAAAAGCTTCCATTTACCCTTAACCCCAAAAAGAACTGGGTTGTCACATTAGCTGCCTCACAACAAAGTGAATATATATCACAATGAGAATTATAAGGCATCCCTTCGTTTCTCTGGTAAAAGGTTACTGAAAAGGCTTTGTACAGTCTTTCTGGAAAGCAGCACTTTAGTGTCCAGGGCTGTTAGCTTAGCAGCTGTCACCAGTATTAAATTCACTGCACGGAGAGAAAAAAAAACCATAAAGTGAAGGATGCTGTACTGAGAGTGAATTGCGTTCTCACCTGAATCAAAATACCTTCCCTCAATTATTATCTCAATAATTGTTCTTATTGATCTAGCTCAGCTAAAGGGCACTGTGGGCTTTGATTTTTTGCATATAGTGTACAACCATTACCCACCTAGTATCAGAGTTTTTTCAGACAGAATAGGATTGTAGTGAATTCCTTGTAGTTATTTAAAATAACTGTGCTAAGAGGTTTTAATCTTAAAATTGTCTTAAGGTGGTGACTAGCCTATGAAGAAAATCCCAAACTTCAAATTTCTTTGTGGAAGTCACCTTTTGCCGTAGGAGAACTTTACCAAGGAATTATGAGAAAGACAAAATATCTTTGTTTTTGTGGGGATATAAAAGCATGATGTGAGAAACGTGAAACTAATGAAGCCACTTTGCAATATGTTTTGCCTGAGCAGGTTTTCTCTGAGGTCTAAAAACAGACGAGCTGCTCTTAGTAGGACTGCTAACAGTGTCTCTCTCCTCGATGTGGCCACCTATTTCACAAGACTTGTTGGAATTTAACGCCTTTGAGATCATTGGTCAAATGCTTTTTTGGAGGCTAAATCCGAATACGCACACAGTGTGGTCATAAAAACATCATTTTCTTAGAACACTGTCCTAAAAAACTTGCTGTGCTCCCCTAAAAGAAGTATTGCACAAGACATCATTGCTACGTAACATAACCCTGACTTCAGTTGCTGCTTCTACTGGTGTTTCAGCAAACATTTCTTGGCTTCAGTATCAAATTTTAAATGGAAGTTGTTGGTTTCATGAGGAAACGCAGCAAACCAGTTGGTGTAAATGCAGCAAATCAGTTGGTGTAAGCAGCAAATTGGTTGATACAAGCTATGTTTATGTGCCACCTTTCATTCAAAAAGATCCATAATCTCTTGGCAAGCGGTAACCGCAGTGTGAGTGAGGGGAGGCATAGCAGGGGAATGGTGGAATAATATGGCATGCAACAAAATCTTTTGCTGATTTTTAATACTCCTAGAATTAAAGGATCTCCAAACATTTTCAAATGTTAGCTGACACTTACGTAGCCGGTGGCTTCAGTAAACATCCTCTTTATTTACATAGTGAGAAACTGAGGCATACAGAGGTTTGGTGAGCTGGTGAGCTGCCTATGATTGCACAACCATTGCTCAGCAAGCATGGAAGTAACAGCATCTCGAACACCTGACTGCCTGTCCTGTGATCTGGCCAGGCCTTGATAACGCTTCTGAGAACTGAGCTGCCAGAGGTGCCAGGCACAATGAAAATGCTCAGGCTGGACCATGGCCAAGGCAGAAAGAACAACAACCGCTTCTTGTGAAAGTGCCATGAAGTCTTCAGCGACCCCAAGCAGTCATGGCCACGGCTGATCATTAGATCGACTAATACCTCATTGCAAGGACAGTACATTGAAGAAGGACCATATCTGTTTTCATAAAGAGAAGGCACTGAGTTCAGCTCTAAGGCAGAAGGACGCAAAACATTTCCTGAGTCATCATCAGCATTTTCTGCAGCGCTCTGGATTTTCCCTAAAGAGCCCCATCTGTCCACTAATCAGCATATCCTGCAAAATCTGATGAGATCAGAGCCCAGAAAGAGAGGAAGAAGATGGGAAAGACTAAAATCAGCCGTTTCCCAGCTTACAATTGCAGCTAACGTGCATCTGGGATGAAAATAGGTACATCACAAAAACCAAAGCAAAATTCTTTGGTCTTTCTACTAAAATGTTTCCACTTCTAAGAGTCCTGCCACAAGGATGCTTATTGCAAAGCAGAAATCCCACTGCAGGCTCATGCCAAGAAAACATGCTGCAAATACTTTGTGAGGCAAACAGGGCTTGCAAAGAGGGTTTGTTCATCTGTCTCGGCCTGTCTTGCCATGCTTTTCTCTCCGTCTTGCCAAGTGGAAAATAAATAATTCTGTCCGAGCTCTTCAGGTTATAATTGGCTGGATATGCCATCAGCTGGCACATCCCTGCTCAGAAGCTGGGAAGGCATAAACACTTCCAGGATTACAGAAAATGAGGACACTAACTATGAGACCAATCCAAAGCCCTTTAGAGTGAGTGTAAAGACTTTAATTGACTGTAGCAAGAGCTACATCAGCTCCCTAATTGCTGGAGGGAAATGGAACAAGGAGTTTCCCCTTTCAGT